ACCGCACCGCACCGCACCGCACCGCACCACATCATACACCGCACCGCACCGCACCGCACCGCACCACGCACCGCACCGCACCGCACCGCACCGCACCGCACCGCACCGCACCGCACCGCACCGCACCGCACCGCACCGCACCGCACCGCACCGCACCGCACCGCACCGCACCGCACTGCACTGCATTACCAAATGATAACTTTAAGTAACTATAATATATGATTGAATAAATCAAATCCAGGAATAAGAGAGAAAGTGTTTGGGGCTACCCGTAATTCCTATCCTGGGAAACGCCACGGGGACGTGATTGGTTAAACCCACAGCCTCGCTAAATGAATTATTTCTGTATTATTTATTGTGGCGGAGCGGGATTTCACGTAGCTTTAATTATAGATTCGCTTTTAACCGGCGGGTGGGTCCCTGAACAAAGAAACACGAGCAGACTTTGAATAAACTCGGCAAACTGTTTGTCCATCAGATCAATTATAAAATAACATAATTTCCCCGAACTACTTAATCAATACTGGCATGTTTAACATTATATCAACAACTTAGTTTCCTCTTTCACATCTCAAATCATGTTTTGACTACTCTACGCGTACCCTAAAACCTACACCTCACCCATACCAACGGCCATCCACACCCCCACACACGCAAGCACACACACCCACACCAACACGCACGCACACACACCAACACACACACACACGCACGCACGCACGCACGCACACACGCACACACACGCACGCACACACACACACGCACACACGCACACACACACACACACACACACACATACGCACGCACACGCACACGCACACGCACACACACACACACGCACACACATCCCACCCCATACATACTTCATGATAATTACAGACTTTGTCATACAGCGTCTTTCCACATTGAATGAGTGCAGTAGCCGTGTCAGGTCGAAACAAGCTCAAGCCACATTTTGCTTGTCTCCCTGTCAGTATTGCGGTAAACTTTCAGGGGCGGTCGGGTAGCTTTGTGGTTAAAGCGTTCGCTCGTCACGCCAAAGACCCCGGTTCTATTCCCGACATGGGTACAATGTGTGAAGCCCATTTCCGGTGTCCCCCGCCGTGATATTGCTAGAATATTGCTAAAGGCGGCGTAAAACCATACTCACTCACTCACTCGGAAACTTTCAAGTAAATGCCATGCATTTCGGGGTTTAAATAAACTAAAACGGATCAACAAACAAATATCGAGATATTGAAGAACCAATAAATCAAATACGACATGTTAAATATAATTGTTTAAAAAGACACAAATGCATGTACAATACATATCAGTTCCATGGCTTCTCCCAAAAATGTTGGCTGTTATTTTTGCGGTCAATCTTAGGACAAATGTCAAGTATATCAGGTTTAAAATAAAAACAACTTTCAAAATTAAGAAAACTGCTTTGCCAAATGTGACATGTTATATGCAATAATATTTTTAAAAATAGAAATGCACGTATTTTCTATTTTAATTACCCATAAGGCCATATTTCAGAAAAAATGTCAGAAAATATTTCAGAAAAATATTTAAAACAGACCACGCGGAATAATCAGGGCGATGTGGGATTTGAACAAGTGATCATGAGTTCATAGAAATTATTTTAATGGAATCATAATAATTCCAGAGAATCCAAATACAAAAGAGGAACAGACATGTTTTAAGCTTCGAGAGTCAAGCCAAAATTTGATAGTGCGTGATTCTGGCGGATCAGTTAAAACACACATATGTAACATTATTTGCAATGGCCAACTTATACCAAGATCTTTTATCAAACAATTTATGAAGTGATGCTTAAATATATATGTGGGACCAACTAAACATGGCAAACATACTTTGGATTACAGCTGGCTGGGACATAATGGGTTTGTAACGGTTTTATTATTTTCAGTTTGAGCATTCTGTCGATGACAAAAACACCTGACATAACTCACTAGTGTCTGAGTGTCTGAGTTGGGTTTAACGCCGCTTTAAACAGTATTCCAGTTATATCACGGCGTGTCAGCTTAATGTGGGAGGAAAGCCCGAAGTTTTGCAGGTCTCAGACGTTTACCACTCCGGTGAAACCCACGAGCACGGGCATGGTGCTGACAAACCTAGAAACATAATCGGGATTCGAACCAACAATCATAGATTTCTGGCGTGCCTTGCAACACTGCACAACGTTACTCTCTATGAGTGAGTGAGTGAGTGAGTATGGTTTTACGCCGCTTTTAGCAATATTCCAGCAATATCACGGTGGGGGACACCAGAAATGGGCTTCACACATTGTACCCTTGTCGGGAATCGAACCCGGGTTTTCAGCGTGACGAGCGAACGCTTTAACCACTAGGCTACCCGACCGCCCTAACTCACTATGAAGGACATATAACAATATAACAATATATCAAAATAACAATATAAATGTAAGGATATTATGTCCAAGATGATTGACATGAGCTACGTATACTAAACCGAAAATATAGGTAATTATCCGGAAAATATAAAATAAATCTTTAAGGCTGCCCTGGAAAACGCCTTGTGGTATGAAACAGGACGTAGATAAGTCTTATAAATCACTGTGCGCCGTCTAGTCGACACATTGACTCTGTGAAGCTAATCACTAATTATTGAACAGGAACGTTCCACAGCATTCCATGTTTGTGCCCGAGTTCATCATAGACTTACCAAGGAGATCTCATACAAGTAGGGAACTGTCGCAGTATTGTGAGTATATTATTTTTGGATTATCGTGCATTGGTATCCCTTACATTTGGTCACGTTATTGTTTTGTATTTTTGTGGAAAAAAAACACGTATCTGTTGAAATGATGGAACAAACTTGTGTAGTTTACTGCTCTTTTTTGTTCGAATGATATCTGCTGAAGCTGTGCAGAGTTGCGTCACTGATGCGCGCCAGAAACCTGTGATTGTGAATCCAGGCCTGCCTTGATAATGTTTCTAGGTTTGTCTGCACCATGCCCATGCTCATGGGTTTCACCAAAGTGGTAAACGTCTGAGACCTGCGTCACTTCGGGCTTTCCTCCCACATAAAGCAGACACGCCGCGATATAACTGGAATACTGTTAAAAGCACCATACCCGTGGTAAAACTCGCAGATCTGCATCACATTGTGGTATAAATTGAATACTTTTCATAGAGGAATTCAAACAAACTCACTCACTTACTTGCAAATGGTTGCCTTGAACGTTACTGACATGAAACATTTTCCTGCCTGAAACAATTAATCACTCACTCACTCACTATTTCACTCACTCACCCACCCTCACTCACTCACTCACCCACCCATACACCCACTCACTCACTCACTCACTCACTCACTAAACCACTCAACCACCCACCCACCCACTCACTCACTCACTCACTCACTCGCCCACTCACTCACTCACTATTTCACTCACTCACCCACCCTCACTCACTCACTCACTCACTCACTCACTCACCCACCCAAACACCCACTCACTCACTCACTCAACCACTCAACAACCCACCCACCCACCCACATACCCACTCACTCAACCCACTCACTCACTCACCCACCCATCCACCCATCCACCCACCCATCCACCCATACACTCACTCACTCACTCATTCACTCACTCACTCACTCAACCTCTCAACCACCCACCCACCCACTCAGTCACTCACCCATACACCCACTCACTCACTCACCCACTCACTCAACCTCTCAACCACCCACACACCCACTCACTCGTTTTCATTTACTATCTTCAGAACACAGACCAGATCATGAGGAAACTTCAGAGCCTAGTCATCCTTGCAGTTTTTACATGGGTTCCAGTCTCCCTTGTGATTCCGACATTGATGAAGAGGTTGAACTGCTACCAGGGATGTGATTGCAGTAAGCAATCAGAAATTTACATGCGCTGCAGGTACCTCAACTTGACCGAAAAGGTCCTACCCCTGCCTCCAAAACAGTCCATGTGCATGACGACAACAGTATATCTTGAGGACGGCATCATTCCATGTCTGTCACAGAGCCATGTTTCCAAGTATTCTCCATATATGTTAGTAGCCCTCAGTCTGAGAAATAATTCCATCGTAAACATTGATGGGAATGCCTTCACCAACTTGACATATTTGGAGACACTTGATCTGTCACAGAACTTCCTAAGCGAGGCTATTCTCAAGGAAGTGTTCTCTGGAATTGCGTTGACTTCAATCAACAAACTGAATATCAGTTCCATGAATCTTGCAAACGTTTCTGATAACTTGTTTGAACATTTGAAAAATATTCCGAACTTCCATCTTCTGTATCTCAATAACACTGCTAGCTTCCCATTAGGCTCATTAATGCGCATAACTAATATGACCTCACTTGACTTTAATAAAAATAATTTAATAAATATAAATCTGAAGATAGCCCTTTTCGCCTCTCTACGCTATCTGAATTTTGACAACAATAAGTTTTATGCATTTCCCGATTTTTGTTTTCGAGAAATCAATAGTACACGTTTCCCCCAACTTACACATCTCTCTATACAGTGGAATCAGATGAGGTATCTGAAGAAACAGCACTACAATTGCCTGCTTGGAATCACGAACTTGTCTTTAAATGGCAATCTATTTAGTGAACTAAAATCAAACCAGTTTGCAATGTTTCCGATGTTGTACAAAATCACCCTATCCTATGTTGGATGTGCAATGCACAATATCGAACGAGCTGTGTTTAATAACTCGGCGTTAAAACAAATCTTTTTCCGTGAAAATCATATATGGTTCAGACAGGCTGAGGTTGACTTGCGGGTATTTGAAGGATGTTCTACACTCGAGTTGCTGGATCTCAATGATAATGTTTTTCAAATAACCACTGAAAACGAGTTAAACACACTACTTGGAGATCTCAAATCCCTCAAAGTTTTGGTTATGGGAGGCACAGGCCTTCGTTTTATACCACAGGTTATAACGGAGCGCTTAACTAATATTGGTAGTCTTGCACTGTACCGGAACTCTATAATGGGATGGAAGTCAAATACATTTGAGAATATGACGAAGTTGAAAAAGTTATACTTGTCAAGTAATCAAATCACAACACTAGAAGAGAACATTTTACCACTAGAATTAAGGAAAAATATAACAGACATTGAACTGGCCCGAAACCCCTTTTCTTGTACGTGCACCATAAATTGGTTGATCCAATGGATGCGTACAAAACCAAACAAGTTTGGTTTCAAGAAGTATGCGAGTCACAAAGCAACATACAATTGCTCAAGTCCGCCAAGTCTGAAAGGTGTACATCTGTTAGATGTGAAGATGTCGGAAATCACATGTTTAATGGATAAAGAAGTGAAAGTTACAACTCTTACCTTAAGTGTTGTGCTTATAGCGTTCCTGGTGACAGGGGCAGTGATGTATCGTTACCGTTGGCACATCCGATACTTCATCTACATGGTCAGATATAGTCGACGTCAGGAGGTGGACAACGCCGACTACGAATATGACGCATTTGTAGCCTATTGTGCACCAGATCGCACCTGGGTCATTAAGACTCTACTTCCAGTTCTTGAAGGCAAGGAGAACCTTAAACTTTGCCTTCATGATAGAGACTTTCAAGTTGGAAAATTAATTGTTGATAACATCGTTGACTCAATTCAAGGAAGTCGGAAAATTATTATCGTCCTCTCCAACGAGTTTGCCCAGAGTGGATGGTGCCAGTTTGAGCTGAATCTCATCCAGCGTCACGTGCTCGAAAATGGACAGCGCCTCCTGGTGGTGGTGATGCTGGAGGAGATAGACACACGTCACGTGACCAAAGCTATGAGAGCCATGTTGCAGACGACAACCTACCTGATGTGGGGCGAGGAAGAGTATGCCAGAAAAGCCTTCTTCAACAGACTGAGGATGTTACTTCATAAATCAACTGGACATCAAGGGAGAAGAAGATTATCAGTGTAGTGGGCTGTCTTGACAGGCCAACCTCGTATGACTGGAATAATGCCGAATGCGGCGTTAAACACCAACGCGGTCACGAATTGGAAGAAGCGGATCATGCGGGAATAAAGAGCTTAGAACGCCTGTTCACACAAAATGTTCCTATTTTATAATGCTTGCCTATTTAGACAGATTTTTATTTTGTCAAATTATGTTATTATGTTATGTAAGATCATTTTCTGAATTGAAGTTCTATTAAATACATCTAACAGCATCCAGTGTTATACGTTCTATTCCTATCGTGTAACAAACATGGGGCACGGGTGGCCCAGTCGTCTAAGGCGCCGCGATTCCCTGTGCAGAGTTGTGTCCCCTGGACACGCCAGAAACCTATGGTTGTGGGTTCGAATCCCGGTTCACCCTGATTATGTTTCTAGGTTTGTCAGCACCATACCCGTGCTCGTGGGTTTCACCGAAGCGGTAAACGTCTGAGACCTGCATCACTTCGGGCTTTCCTCCCACATTAAGCTGACACGCCGTGATATAACTGGAATAATGTTAAAAGCGGCGTTAAACCCAACTCACTCACTCACTCACTGTAACAAACAGATATATTAATAGTTCTAGTGTAGACATGTAAAAACCAATCTTCAATTAAATACCGTCTTTACTTGTATATGGATTAATTTCAGTTAAAATTAAAGCGGCTATGTAGTCCAATTTTATGTCACAACAAGCACGTCATTTCTGAAAAGGAAATTATTATGAAACCGTATAATCGATTCAGTCCTATACAACACGAAACCAATCGTTTGGAATTCCTCTAAATTACACCCGGGGGATATTTATTTGTTCAGTCCGAGTTTGTTTAGCCACTGTTGTCATCTGACTATGTCGAGGATGGCAACGGGCAATTGAGGACAATTTGTCATCAAATGTCACCAGACGCGTAATGAGAAAACAATCTGTGAAATGCTAACCTTCCTCAAAAAACACTATTCACGAGACTTTATGACAAAAGGGATGATTTCGACTTTCCAATTGTCAACTTTCTCTTTATGTCGAGCAATACTTTTTCCATTTTTTTGGTGTCTACATTTCAGAACTTCCAACAGAGCATGTTCTCTCTGCGAAGATTTCCAACAGCGTCTTACTACTCTTACTCAGAAGTTGTTTGTTAAGGGTTACAACATTTAAGCCCTCACTCAAGCTTTATGTGAACGAGATTTCAAAAGTTGACGTGTCAGTAACACGCTTGACTGGCATGTGAGATAACTTACTGGCTATAAATTACAAGAATTACTTCCCTAGACCAGGTCACACACGTACACGCCTGTTATGAGATGTATGGTAATGCGTGTACGTTATTATCATACACTAAGATCATGAGAATCGGTCAGCTTTGGATGAATACAAAACTCTATGTGACATGCTTTATGCAGAAATTGCGGTGTCTCCTCAAACAAAAATAACACAAATTATCCGGTATATATATAACCCAAAGTCATCATAACAAGTGTTTGTGCGTCTGTGTGTCTGTGCTTCTCTGTGTGTGTGTGTGTGTGTGTGTGTGTGTGTGTGTCTGTGTGTGTGTCTGTCTGTCTGCCTGTGTGCGTATGTGTGTGTGCAATTGTATGTGTGTCTGGGTGTGTGTCTGTCTGACTCTGTGTGTGTCTGTGTAATTCTGTGTGAGCCTCTGTGCGTATGTGTGTGCAATTGTCTGTGTGTCTGTGTGTGTCCGTGTTTTGTGTGTGTCTGGGTGTGTGTCTGTCTCTGTGTGTGCCTGTGTAATTCTGTGTGAGCCTCTGTGCGTATGTGTGTGTGCAATTGTCTGTGTGTCTGTGTGTGTCCGTGTTTTGTGTGTCTGGGTGTGTGCCTGTCTCTGTGTGTGTCTGTGTATGTCTGTATGAGCCTATGTCTGTCTGTTTCTATGTGTGTGTGTGTTTGTGTGTGTGTCTGTATACATGTGTTTGTGCATATGTGTGTGTCTGTATCTGTGTATCGGTGACTACGTCTCAGTGTGTATGTCTCTGTGAGTGTGTGTATGTAAATTATATGTATGTGAGTGTCTGCCTCTGTGTGTCTGTGTCTGCAGGTCTGTCTGAGTTTGTCTGAATCTGTGTGAGTGGTTGTCTGAAAATGTATATGGGCTTGTGTTCGTGTCTATGTGTGTCTGTTTCTGCGCGTCTGTGTGTATACATGCATGCATGTTTGTGAGTGTGTGTGTGTCTATGTCTGGGTCTATGTCTGTCTGTCTAACTGTGTCTTTGGACATGTTGATTAGTGCATGCGTGTATGTCCATGTACCTGTGTGTCTGTATCTATGTGTGTGTGTCTGTATCTATGTGCGTGCGTGCGTGCGTGCGTGCGTGCGTGCGTGCGTGCGTGCGTGCGTGCGTGTGTGTGTGTGTGTGTGTGTGTGTGTGTGTGTGTGTGTGTGTGTGTGTGTGTGTGTGTGTGTGTGTGTGTGTGTGTGTGTGTGTGTGTGGGTGTGTGTTATGAGGGCACTGGGATAACATTGTTCCAGAAAAGAGCTCTATTGTAAAGGTAAACACTACTGACCCTTATACTAGCAATCAGGCCAGTCACTGAGTCTGACCACCTTATCACTTTACGATAAACATACATTGTAACCCGGAATCACCACGACTTGAGTGAGTGAGTGAGTGATTGACGAGCGAGGGCTTTAACCACTAGGCAACCCCACCACCCCACCACCCCACCACCCCTCCACGGATGTAACATTTAGCGTCTTTATACATCCTTTGTACCTCATGTCATTTCAAAGCCAACGATGATTTGGTAGCAGAACATTATTTATATATTCGTACACTTGTACTTAAGAGTTGCAATTTGTACGTTGACATATGTAATAATTAGTGATAACAAATGGTTTATTAAAAGAATTGCTGCCACGTGCTTTTTAACTCAACCTGGTCTTAACTGAATTTACACATCAAAAAACACAAGAGTCGGGATGATTTTATAGTATAACTTTATATGAGAAGAACAACTGTCTATAAGGTTCATGGATGTACAGTAGACTACGGTTAAAAAAAACACGCTTATAACGAACTGACGGATATAACGAACTTACTTTTTGGTCCCGACTATTTGTTGTAGTTATGATGTATATATGCTTATAACGAACTACGGTTATAACGAACTAAAATTTGTAGTCCCTTTGAGTGTGTTATAACCGTAGTTTACTGTAGTATAATTATCTATAAGATGATCCTGATGGTCATCCAACATAATTGCACGTATATTTACTTGTCTTTCTCTGTTTTTATGCTACAATGTACTGCACACGTTTAAATGTAGTGAACTTAATGTTATTAGATCTAGAAATGATGAGGATCAACTTCCTTCATTTCTGTGCCGTTCCCGCTTTCTGGTATCACCATATCATTCAGGTGTCACTATCACCTTCAGGTGTCACTATCACCTTCAGGTGGGCACTCTCTCCTTCAGGTGTCACTCTCTCCTTCAGGGGTCACTCTCACCTTCAGGTGTCATTATCACCTTCAGGTGTCACTATCACCTTCAGGTGTCACTCTCTCCTTCAGGTGTCCCTCTCTCCTTCAGGTGTCACTCTCACCTTCAGGTGTCACTCTCACCTTCAGGTGTCATTATCACCTTCAGGTGTCACTCTCTCCTTCAGTTGTCACTCTCTCCTTCAGGTGTCACTATCACTTGTAGATATCATTCTCTCCTTCAGGTGTCACTCTCTCCTTCAGGTGTCACTCTCTTCTTCAGGTGTCACTCTCACCTTCAGGTGTCACTCTCTCCTTCAGGTGTCACTCTCTCCTTCAGGTGTCATTATCACCTTCAGGTGTCATTATCACCTTCAGGTGTCACTCTCTCCTTCAGTTGTCACTCTCTCCTTCAGGTGTCACTATCACTTGTAGAAATCATTCTCTCCTTCAGGTGTCACTCTCTCCTTCAGGTGTCACTCTCTCCTTCAGGTGTCATTATCACCTTCAGGTGTCACTATCACCTTCAGGTGTCACTCTCTCCTTCAGGTGTCCCTCTCTCCTTCAGGTGTCACTCTCACCTTCAGGTGTCACTCTCACCTTCAGGTGTCATTATCACCTTCAGGTGTCACTCTCTCCTTCAGCTGTCACTCTCTCCTTCAGGTGTCACACTTTCCATATTGTGTCACTCTCTCTCTTGTAGGTGTCACTCTTTCTTGTAGATGTCACTCTCTCCTTCAGGTGTCACTCTCTCTTGTAGGTGTCACTTCTTCTTCCTTCAAGTGTCACACTTTCCTTAATGTGTCACTCCCTATTCAGGGTGAATCTCCTTTTCCTGTGTCACTCTCTCCTACTGGTGTCAATGTCCTTAAGGTGTCACTCCCGATGTCACGTGTCACACCCGATGTCACGTGTCACACTCTCCTTCTGGTGTCCAATTGTCCTTAATCTGTCACTCCCTTTGCCACGTGTTACTCTCTCTTACAGATGTCACACGCTCCTATTGTGTCACTCCCTCTTACAGGTGTCACTACCTATGTCACGTGTCACTGTCTATGCAAGGTGGCACTCCCGATGTCACGTGTCACGCTCTCCTTCTGGTGTCAATCTGAATGTTCGAGATATGTCTGTTTACTTGCTATTGAGTAATGTGTCTATAAACACTGGTATTGAAGATATATGTGATTAGAATATGTACACACGTTATCTTTTCCTTCCCTGAATAAAACGTGTGTGTACGATGGCTGTCCTGTATATTTTTGTATCGTTCAGACAGTAGATATTTACTGCACAGCAATTATATTTCCCAAGAACATTTATCTAACCACACCTACATGTATCTTGGGAATACTTCATATCTAAACCGGGGGCACGGGTGGCCCAGTCGTCTTAGGCGCCGCGATTCCCTGTGCAGAGTTGTATCCCTTGGTGCACGCCAGAAACCTGTGATTGTGGGTTCGAATCCCGGTTCGCCCCGATTATGTTTCTAGGTTTCTCAGCACCATACTCGTGCTCGTGGGTTTCATCGAAGTGGTAAACGTCTGAGACCTGCATCACTTCGGGCTTTCCTCCAACATTAAGCTGACACGCCGCGATATAACTGGAATACTGTTAAAAGCGGCATTAAACCCAACTCACTCACTCACTCCATCAACGGTCGGTTTATCATGCAAATACTACAACCGTCCTCATCAACATAGTTGTAGTCAATACCATCACTGCCATCTTCAGTACACCGGTGGATTCATCTCTTGCCATGTAGGGGCGGCGGGGTAGCCTAGTTGTTAATGCGTTCGCTCGTCACGCAGAAGACCTAGGTTCTATTCCCTAAATGGGTATAATGTGTGAAGCCCATTTCTGGTGTACCCCGCCGCGATATTGCAGGAATTTTGCAAAAATCGGCGAAAACAATACTCACTCACTCACTCACTCACTCACGCACTCACGTCTGTGTGAGCCTATGTCTGTCTGTTTCTATGTGTGTGTGTGTGTTTGTGTGTGTGTCTGTATACATGTGTTTGTGCATATGTGTGTGTCTGTATCTGTGTATCGGTGACTACGTCTCAGTGTGTATGTCTCTGTGAGTGTGTGTATGTAAATTATATGTATGTGAGTGTCTGCCTCTGTGTGTCTGTGTCTGCAGGTCTGTCTGAGTGTGTCTGAATCTGTGTGAGTGGTTGTCTGAAAATGTATATGGGCTTGTGTTCGTGTCTATGTGTGTCTGTTTCTGCGCGTCTGTGTATATACATGTATGCATGTTTGTGAGTGTGTGTGTGTCTATGTCTGGGTCTATGTCTGTCTGTCTAACTGTGTCTTTGGACATGTTGATTAGTGCACGCGTGTATGTCCATGTACCTGTGTGTCTGTATCTATGTGTGTGTGTCTGTATCTATGTGCGTGCGTGCGTGCGTGTGTGTGTGTGTGTGTGTGTGTGTGTGTGTGTGGGGGGGGGGGGGTGGGGGGGGTGGGGGTGGGTGTGGGTGTGGGTGTGTGGGTGTGTTTGTGTGGGTGGGTGGGTGTTATGAGGGCACTGGGATAACATTGTTCCAGAAAAGAGCTCTATTGTAAAGGTAAACACTACTGACCCTTATACTAGCAATCAGGCCAGTCACTGAGTCTGACCACCTTATCACTTTACGATAAACATACATTGTAACCCGGAATCACCACGACTTGAGTGAGTGAGTGAGTGATTGACGAGCGAGGGCTTTAACCACTAGGCAACCCCACCACCCCACCACCCCACCACCCCTGCACCCCATCACCCCTCCACGGATGTAACATTTAGCGTCTTTATACATCCTTTGTACCTCATGTCATTTCAAAGCCATCGATGATTTGGTAGCAGAACATTATTTATATATTCGTACACTTGTACTAAAGAGTTGCAATTTGTACGTTGACATATGTAATAATTAGTGATAACAAATGGTTTATTAAAAGAACTGCTGCCACGTGCTTTTTAACTCAACCTGGTCTTAACTGAATTTACACACCAAAAAACACAAGAGTCGGGATGATTTTATAGTATAACTTTATATGAGAAGTACAACTGTCTATAAGGTTCATGGATGTACAGTAGACTACGGTTAAAACAAACACGCTTATAACGAACTGACGGATATAACGAACTTACTTTTTGGTCCCGACTATTTGTTGTAGTTATGATGTACATGTATATATGCTTATAACGAACTACGGTTATAACGAACTAAAATTTGTAGTCCCTTGAGTTCGTTATAACCGTAGTTTACTGTAGTATAATTATCTATAAGATGATCCTGATGGTCATCCAACATAATTGCACGTATATTTACTTGTCTTTCTCTGTTTTTATGCTACAATGTACTGCACACGTTTAAATGTAGTGAACTTAATGTTATTAGATCTAGAAATGATGAGGATCAACTTCCTTCATTTCTGTGCCGTTCCCGCTTTCTGGTATCACCATATCATTCAGGTGTCACTATCACCTTCAGGTGTCACTATCACCTTCAGGTGTCACTCTCTCCTTCAGTTGTCACTCTCTCCTTCAGGAGTCACTATCACTTGTAGATATCATTCTCTCCTTCAGGTGTCACTCTCTCCTTCAGGTGTCACTCTCTTCTTCAGGTGTCACTCTCACCTTCAGGTGTCACTATCACCTTCAGGTGTCACTCTCACCTTCAGGTGTCACTCTCTCCTTCAGGTGTCATTATCACCTTCAGGTGTCACTATCACCTTCAGGTGTCACTCTCTCCTTCAGGTGTCCCTCTCTCCTTCAGGTGTCACTCTCACCTTCAGGTGTCATTATCACCTTCAGGTGTCACTCTCTCCTTCAGTTGTCACTCTCTCCTTCAGGTGTCACTATCACTTGTAGATATCATTCTCTCCTTCAGGTGTCACTTTCTCCTTCAGGTGTCACTCTCTCCTTCAGGTGTCACTCTCTTCTTCAGGTGTCACTCTCACCTTCAGGTGTCACTCTCACCTTCAGGTGTCACTCTCTCCTTCAGGTGTCACTCTCTCCTTCAGGTGTCATTATCACCTTCAGGTGTCACTCTCACCTTCAGGTCTCATTATCACCTTCAGGTGTCACTCTCTCCTTCAGCTGTCACTCTCTCCTTCAGGTGTCACACTTTCCATAATGTGTCACTCTCTCTCTTGTAGGTGTCACTCTCACTTGTAGATGTCACTCTCTCCTTCAGGTGTCACTCTCTCTTGTAGGTGTCACTTCTTCTTCCTTCAAGTGTCACACTTTCCTTAATGTGTCACTCCCTATTCAGGGTGAATCTCCTTTTCCTGTGTCACTCTCTCCTACTGGTGTCAATGTCCTTAAGGTGTCACTCCCGATGTCACGTGTCACACCCGATGTCACGTGTCACACTCTCCTTCTGGTGTCCCATTGTCCTTAATCTGTCACTCCCTTTGCCACGTGTTACTCTCTCTTACAGATGTCACACGCTCCTTTTGTGTCACTCCCTCCTACAGGTGTCACTACCTATGTCACGTGTCACTGTCTATGCAAGGTGGCACTCCCGATGTCACGTGTCACGCTCTCCTTCTGGTGTCAATCTGAATGTTCGAGATATGTCTGTTTACTTGCCATTGATTAATGTGTCTATAAACACTGGTATTGAGGATATATGTGATTAGAATATGTACATACGTTATCTTTTCCTTCCCTGAATAAAACGTGTGTGTACGATGGCTGTCCTGTATATTTTTGTATCGTTCAGACAATAGATATTTACTGCACAGCAATTATATTTCCCAAGAACATTTATCTAACCACACCTACATGTATCTTGGGAATACTTCATATCTAAACCGGGGGCACGGGTGGCCCAGTCGTCTTAGGCGCCGCGATTCCCTGTGCAGAGTTGTGTCCCTTGGGCACGCCAGAAACCTGTGATTGTGGGTTCGAATCCCGGTTCGCCCGATTATGTTTCTAGGTTTCTCAGCACCATACTCGTGCTCGTGGGTTTCACCGAAGTGATAAACGTCTGAGACCTGCATCACTTCGGGCTTTCCTCCAACATTAAGCTGACACGCCGCGATATAACTGGAATACTGTTAAAAGCGGCATTAAACCCAACTCACTCACTCACTCCCTCAAGGGTCGGTTTATCATGCAAATACTACAACCGTCCTCATCAACATAGTTGTAGTCAATACCATCACTGCCATCTTCAGTACACCGGTGGATTCATCTCTTGCCATGTAGGGGCGGCGGGGTAGCCTAGTTGTTAATGCGTTCGCTCGTCACGCAGAAGACCTAGGTTCTATTCCCTAAATGGGTATAATGTGTGAAGCCCATTTCTGGTGTACCCCGCCGCGATATTGCAGGAATTTTGCAAAAATCGGCGAAAACAATACTCACTCACTCACTCACTCACTCACTCACTCACTCACGCACTCACTCACTCACTCACTCACTCACTCACTCACTCACTCACTCACTCACTCACTCACTCACTCACTCACGCACTCACTCACTCACTCACTCACGCACTCACGCACTCACTCACTCACTCACTCACTCACTCACGCACTCACGCACTCACTCACTCACTCACTCACTCACTCACTCACTCACTCACTCACTCACTCACTCACTCACTCACTCACTCACTGTTAACACCGTAGCCGCCATCTTCCTCACACCGGAGGATTCACCTCATACCGTGACTGCCATCCTCTAAACACCGGTAGTTTCACATCATATAATGTCAATACCATAGCCGTCGTCACAAATACGATGGTCGTTTAACATATACCATGTTTATAGAGCATCATCACCAATACAAGGGTAGAGTGAGTGAGTGGGACGGTGGGTGAGTGAGTAGGACGGTGGGTGAGTTAGTGAGTGGGACGGTAGGTAAGTGAGTGGGTCGGAGGGTGAGCGACTGGGTCGGTGGTTGAGTGAGTGGGACGGTAGGTGAGTGAGTGAGCGAGTGAGTGAGTGGGACAGTAGGTGAGTGAGTGGGTCGGAGGGTGAGCGACTGGGTCGGTTGTTGAGTGAGTGGGACGGTAGGTGAGTGAGTGGGACCGTAGGTTTGTGAGTTGGTCGGTGGGTGAGTGTGTGGGACGGTGGGTGAGTGAGTGGGACGGTTGGTGAGTGAGTTGAATCGTGGGTGAGAGAGTGGGTCGGTGGGTGGGTGAGTGGGGCGGTAGGTGGGTGAGTGAGCGAATGAGTGAGTGGGGCAGTAGGTGAGTGAGTTGGTCGGAGGGTGAGCGAGTGGGTCGGTGGTTGAGTGAGTGGGACGGTGGAAGAGTGAGTGAATTGGTCGTGGGTTGGTTGCTGTGTTTCGTTTTTGATATGCGGGTGGGCGGACGTGCGGCTAGATGTGTTTCTGGTCTGTGGGTGGGTCTGTGTTTGGTGGGTGTGCGGACAGGGGGGGCGGTCTGTGTTTGATGGGTCTGCGGAATGGTGGGTGGGTCTGTGTTTGGTGGGACTGCGGAATGGTGGGTGAGTCTGTGTTTGGTGGGTCTGCGGAATGGTGGGTGGGTCTGCAGAATGATTGGTGGGTCTGTGTTTGGTGGGTCTGCAGAATGGTGGGTGGGTCTGTGTTTTGTGGGTCTGCGGAATGGTGGGTGGGTCTGTGTTTGATGGGTCTGCGGAATGGTGGGTGGGTCTGTGTTTGGTGGGTCTGGGGAATGATGGGTGGGTCTGTGTTTGGTGGGTCTGGGGAATGATGGGTGGGTCTGTGTTTGGTGGGTCTGCGGAATGGTGGGTGGGTCTGTGTTTGGTGGGTCTGCGGAATTGTTGGTGGGTCTGTGTTTGGTGGGTCTGCGGAATGGTTGGTGGGTCTGTGTTTGGTGGGTCTTGGGAATGGTGGGTGGGTCTGTGTTTGGTGGGTCTGCGGAATGATGGGTGGGTCTGTGTTTGGTGGGTCTGCGGAATGGTGGGTGGGTCTGTGTTTGGTGGGTCTGCGGAATGGTGGTGGGTCTGTGTTTGGTGGGTCTGCGGACTGGTGGGTGGGTCTGTGGATGGATCATAAAGTAGCTTGATGAGGGAGGAAAGACCAACACAATTACCCGGTAAAATTAACTGACACGTGATCTGGTTACATTTTCCGTGTTTAACAGTATCAGCTGTTAGTAGCAGGAGCTCAACTGGACGAGCAGGGCATACTTAGGGATATTTGTAAGTATACCTATTTTGTCAGTGTTTGTCAACGTCACATGAACTAATCCAGTTATGATATGATTGAACAGATGACCATAAACGACGATTAGTTAACGTTGTTATTTTATGACATGTCCGTGTTTAAGTCGTTGGCTTGTTTCGTTTGTTGTTTTACCACGTGATCAGCAATATCACAGCTACATCACCACAGCCAGGGAATAAACGAGTCTGGCCCAGACAAACGAACAGTTGGTATTATTGGACTGATCACGCAATCAGAAAAGTCACCTCTTATAATTACTTCAAACAATTGAGGGCTGGTGACGCCGACCGACTTGTGGAGAGGCATTTCGAACTGAACACTACGGAATTTGAAACAACAAACGATTTGAGAATTTGAGATTTGTAGTCATTCGAAATACGTACACTCGGTGATAGAAACGTTCAGAAGACATCGTTTGACCCTTGAGGAAATAATTTAAAGATTATCAGTCACAGCTGTACACTATAATGATAATAATGACTACTGTAAATTCCGGGGGCTAGGGTGGCCCAATCGCCTAAGGTGCACCGATTCGCTGTGCAGAGTTGCGTCCCTTGGGCACGCCAGAAACCTATGATTGTGGGTTCGAATCCCGGTTCGCCACGATGTTTCTAGGTTTGTCAGCACCATACCCGTGCTCGTGGGTTTCAACGAAGTGGTAAACGTCTTGATACCTGCATCACTTCGGGCTTTCCTCTCACATTAAGCTGAAACGCCGCGATATAACTGGAATACTGTTAAAAGCGACGTTAAACCCAACTCACGCACTTATTCACTCAATGTGAATTTCAGACTTTGTTTCGGAAATATCAGTAGTAATGATTTCCCCAACCTTAAATACATAGAATTATATGAGATAATTAGACAGAAATTGTTTTATTACAGTTGTCATACCAACCTCACTAACGTGAATTTAATTGGTAATATATTTCCATTGCTAATAACTCATCAGTTTGTATTTCATCACACATTCTCAGAATCTATGTTATTTTGGAAGGGCAATGAGGTGAGTTAGTTAGTGAGTGAGTTGGGTTTTACCGCCGCTTTTAACAGTATTCCAGTTATATCATGGCGTGTCAGCTTAATGTGTGAAGAAAGCCTGAAGTGATGCAGGTCTCAGACGTTTACCACTTCGGTGAAACCCACGAGCACGGGTATGGTGCTGACAAACCTAAAAACATAATTGGGGAGCACCGGGATTCGAACCCACAATCATAGGTTTCTGGCGTGCCCAAGGGACGCAACTCTGCACAGCGAATCGCGGCGCCTTAGACGACTGGGCCACCCGTGCCTCGGCAATGAGGTGAGGTGACTCATGTGCTTTTTTAAGGAAATAAACAAATATTTCCTCCAAGTTATTTACACTAACACATTAGTGAGGTTTATTTATGGACCATTGTTCACGCTTTCGGGTACTTCTTTGTCTGGCTCGATTACTTACATACCGCGATATATCTAGAATACTGCTGTCTGCGGCGTTAAACAACATTCATCAATATATGTATATGTACCCCTTTATTCTCTTAAAATAGTGGAAATCCGTTTATCCGCAGTTTATGAAGAGGAACTTCAGTATATAGAGGTTATCACGCGAGTGTGTTTGGGGATGGTAAAGATCCTGCAGAGCGACAAAACGAAACAAGCTTGTAACAATTCAAACATATTTCGGCCAAATCCAACTGTTTTCATTTGTGGAAAAGGTTTCAAGCCGCAGAGGTCGACAAGCACAGATATGGCTACTGATTCCGCTTGGCTGGGCCTAGTGCCCTCGCAAAATTGTTTCGAAATCTATATCTTCAAACTTGCAAAACCTTATAAAATGCCTTAGCTACATCACAGTTAGACACTGATTTTCAGTATATTAGACTGTTCTTTTGATAATGATAGCGATGGTTAATTCTGACTCGATCGCCGAATGACAAGGGCGACGCCGTGTTTGTATGTAAACACTGAAAGTAGTCCCTACTTGACCTTTGATATTTGCATCTCTATCCGCATATGACCCCAACGGATATTGTTTTTAACCGTTGGCTTTATCCTGCCGAGAAACCTGCCCATTATATGATAAAATTATATATCTGAATATATTTCTGAATTCACTGGAGTTATCCCCCTTGTATCCTTATTTTGCTTCGACCAGTGGGCAAGCAGTCATATATTGACATGTATGTGTTTGCGTGTGTGGGAGTGTCATTACAGTCATTGTCGAACATATTTTCGACTTTGTGTTTGCTGTTTTATTAGATTTATTAGAGATTGAAGACTAACAAAAAAACACCCTATCCCCCCCCCCCCCCCTCCCCCCGTCAAACTACTAAGACATGCACATTTAATTGTGTGTGACTTAATATGCAATGCAATTAAACGAGACAAAAAAATTTGCATCAGTATAGGAAATACAGTAAACTACGGTTATAACGAACTCAAAGGGACTACTAATTTTAGTTCGTTATAACCGTAGTTCGTTATAAGCATATTTACAGCATAACTACAGCAAATAGTCGGGACCAAAAAAGTAAGTTCGTTATATCCATCAGTTCGTTATAAGCGTGTTCGTTATAACCGAAGTTTCCTGTATCGGCTTAAGGCAGAGTCCATTGTCCGTTTCCGAGGTCTGTACACGAGGTGTTCGAGAAATGGTGAGCCTAACCTGCACCACTAATGGCGCCCATCTGTTATAAACATGAATCAAACTTGTCACCATACATCTGTTTACACTTCAAAGAGCTATTTTTCACCAAATCAAATTCTTCTTTGGGGCGGTCGGGTAGCCTTGTGGTTAAAGCGTTCGCTCGTCACGCCGAAGACCCAGGTTCGATTCCCGACATGGGTATAGTGTGAAGCTCATTTCTGGTGTCCCCCGTCGTGATATTGCTGGAATATTGCTAAAAGCGGCGTAAAAACATACTCACTCACTCACCCAAATTATTCTTTCAGCCGAAGAGACAGTAATGAAGGCCCAACGATGTTGACTGATATCCGTCTTTATTAAAAAGTTAAGTTCATGTTTATGTTAAATAGAAATGCATCGAATAACGAATATAGTTTTTATTCGGTGCATTTGAATATGCGGCCGCATCATGCACTTTACTTTTAGGCAGGTTGGGAAACGTTAAAAGAACAGAGGACGTAATTATAAACTTGGGTGTATAACAAATAATTACAGTGATACAGAACTATCTTATCCTAAAGACCTCATCCCCAGTAATGTTGGATCAAAGAAAACAGACACAATCAGAAATTCTGACTGCACTCAACTTCTATTTCCATTTAAACATTTTTCGTTCTACAATACGGATGTGGAATGATATTCTGGTACAGTAAACTACGTTTATAACGAACACGCGTATAACGAACTGACGTTTATAACGACCTTTCTTTTTTGTCCCGACTATTTGCTGTAGTTATGCTGTGTATATGCTTATAACGAACTGCGGTTATAACGAACTAAAATTAGTAGTCCCTTTGAGTTCGTTATAATCGTAGTTTACTGTACTTGATATTGCGAAACGCGGCGTAAAACCATACTCATTCACTCACTCTTACTTATTCTCTTCTTTCTATCCATTGTAAATATTGCAAATGGGTGTAATATATTCGAATGGAGATAGTAGTCAATGATTTACAACTAAATACACCCCCACTCTCATTGTGTGACCAAAATATGTTAAAAGCCCAAAACAACTACTTGTAACAACATCGATAAGAACCGTTTGATACCCTCTTGAATCTGTCGCCAAACTTATTTGACCACATTTTTGTGTGATTTTATTTCAGACCATACATTAGTTAGACGCTAAAGGCAAGATGAAGAGCATTCAACAGCCTCGGGGTTTGGTGGCTATTATTGCACTGTTGACTGTGGTGGTGGCTTGCAATACGTCACTGTCATTAAGGAAGAGGCTTGAATGTCATCGGGGATGTAACTGCAGTCTGTTCAAAAGAGAAAGAGTTGTCATGCGCTGTGCACTATTCAACTTAACAGGAAAGCCTTTACCAACGCCTCCAAAACAGTCCAAGAATTGGAATACAAGCATTTATTTGGAGAACGGGACCATTCCTGCTCTCCTGCACAACACCTTATCGGAGTATTCTCACTACCGAATTGTCCTTCTCAGTCTGAAAAATAACACCATTCGAAACATACACAAGCATGCCTTCAACGGGATGCGGTATTTGAAGACACTAGACCTGTCAGAGAACTTCATTGCCGAAAACATTCTCAAGGAGTCGTTCTACGGAATAGCCATGACTCCAATCAAGGAACTGAATATTAGTTCTATGAATCTTACACATGTTTCTGATGATTTCTTTGAACATTTAGAAAATATTACAAACGTTAGGCTTACATTTCGCAACAACCCATGTGAGTTCCCGCGGGACGCTCTTCAGGGCTTGAGACACCTGACCAGCCTTGACTTTGGTGGAAATCGTTTGAAGACGATATACCTGAGGAATGCCAGCTTTACCTCTCTTCAAACTCTTAGTTTTGATAACAATAACTTCTATGAATTTCCTAATTTGTGTAGTAGTAATATTTTCCCTAACCTTAAACATCTATCTATTCAGTGGAATGGTATGAGATATTTAGATAGAAACTATTACAGTTGTTTAACAAACCTCACTAATTTCTACTTAAATGGTAATCTATTTCCAAAACTAAAATCAAATCAGTTTTCGATGTTGCCATACATATACAAAATCACCTTGTCGTATGTTGGATGTGCAATGCACACTATAGAAAGAGCGGTGTTCAATAATTCGGCACTGAAACAAATATTCTTTCGTAAGAATCGTATTTGGTTCAGAGAAGCAGAAATAGACATGCGTGTCTTTGAAGGATGTCCTTCTTTGGAACTGTTGAACCTCAATGATAATGTTTTCCAAGTAACAACAGAAATCGAATTCAATACGCTGTTTGGAGATCTCACCAACCTCAAGACTTTAGTTATGGGGGGCAATGGCCTCCGATCTATACCACAAGTTATAACGAGGAAGTTAACAAGTATTACGAGTCTTGCTCTGTATCGGAACTCCATATCAGATTTGAAGCCAAATACGTTTGAAAATATGACAAAGTTGAAAAAACTATTCTTGGCAAATAATGAAATTTCAACAATTGATAAACAATCCCTTCCGAAAGATCTGAAACAATTTGAGATGTTTGGAAACCCCCTTTCCTGTACTTGTGATATGATGTGGTTTGTAGACTGGATGCGTAAAGATCCCGAAACATTTGGTTTTCATAAAACACCTCAAAATAAAGTTTTATATAACTGCTCCAGCCCCGTTATAGTCAAAGGGATTCAATTACTTGATTTGAAAATGTCAGAGATAAGTTGTCTGATGGGTGAGGATGTAAAAATCATAACTCTTACCTTTAGTACTTTGCTCACAGTGTTCCTGGTGACAGGGGCAGTGATGTATCGTTACCGTTGGCACATCCGATACTTGATCTACATGATCAGATACAGTCAACGACAGGAGGTGGACACCGCCGACTACGAATATGACGCGTTTGTGGCTTACTCTGCACCAGATCGTCACTGGGTCATACGGAATATGTTGCCTGTTCTGGAAGGCAAGGAAAACTTCAAACTCTGCGTGCATGACAGGGACTTTGAAGTTGGTAAATTAATCGTGGATAACATCGTTGATGCAATTGAAGCAAGCCACAAAATTATCATTGTCCTCTCTAACAGTTTTGCTCAAAGTGACTGGTGCCGTTTTGAATTGAATCTCATCCAGCGTCACGTGCTGGAGAATGGACAGCGCCTCCTGGTGGTGGTGATGCTGGAGGAGATAGACACACGTCACATGACAAAAGCTATGAGAGCCATGTTGCAGACGACAACCTACCTGATGTGGGGCGAGGAAGAGTATGCCAGAAAAGCCTTCTTCAACAGACTGAGGATGTTACTTCGCAGTTCAAACGGAAATGCAGGGAAAAGACGATTATCAGTTTAGTAGACAAGGAAATGTGACGGCATTTGTGTTATAACGATGTATCAAGAGGTGATTTAGGAGGCCATGTAATCAGTAAGGAGATGCATAATTGTTTATTTTTATATATGAAAGGAAAACCTTTGATATTTGCACATATCTTTAAAGATTCTCGAAGACAAAATTTTAGAAGACAAGATAGGGAGTAATTAAGTTTGGTTTTACGCCGTTGTCAGCAATATTCCATCAATATCACGGCTGGGAACACCAGACAAGGGCTTCACACATTGTATACATGCGGGGAATCTTCTGCTACCCCACCACCTCTTTTGTAGAGAAGAATTTCCATTACTGAATATGGAATCATCGTATCAGGATGACTTACTGTGATTTTTTTTCTCCCTTGACCCTGTACTATAAATACAAATACAGACGTTTATTCATCAATGTACAAATGTAGTATTCATTTATAACTGTAGAATAAAAATGTATTGTTTACATTTGGATATGCCTATATTTACTTATATATCGGAGTCTTCCGTATGTTTCGATTATATTCATCGATGTTTTGGACAAGCAAGCCACTACATTTTCATTTAACATCCGATATGGTGTTCATGTTTGAATGGAAAATCCTAAGCTCAAAGATATTGTTGTCATTCCATGGGATATATTCTTAGGTGTGTGCATTTCTAAACTCACTATAGGCATAGCACGTTATCATGGAGAGGGATCACGAAGTATGACAACATGACACACTACAATCAAAGCATGACACCATGACACTAAATACAAAGCATGACAATATGACACACTAGAGGCATTGTATGGCATCATGACACACTAGATGAATAGCATAACAACATGACACACGAGGGGCATAGTAAGGCATCATGACACATTAGATGCATAGCATGACAACATGACACACTAGATGCATAGCATGACAACATGACACACTAGGGGCATAGTAAGGCATCATGACACACAAGATGCATAGCATGACAACTTGACACACTAGATGTATAGCATGACAACATGACACACAAGAGGCATAGTATGGCATCATGGCACACTAGATGCATAGCATGACAACTTGACAAACTAGAGGCATAGTAAGGCATCATGGCACACTAGATGCATAGCATGACAACTTGACACACTAGATGCATAACATGACATCATGACACACTAGATGTATAGCATGACATCATGACAAACTACATGCATAGCATGACAACTTGACACACTAGATGCATAGCATGACAATATGACACACAAGATGTATAGCATGACATCATGACACACTAGATGCATAGCATGACACCTTGACACACTAGATGTATAGCATGACAACATGACACATAAGAGGCATAGTAAGGCATCATGGCACACTAGATGCATAGCATGACAACTTGACAAACTAGAGGCATAGTAAGGCATCATGGCACACTAGATGCATAGCATGACAACTTGACACACTACATGCATAACATGACAACTTGACACACTAAATGTATAGCATGACATCATGACACACTACATGCATAGCATGACAACTTGACACACTAGATTCATAGCATGACACCTTGACACACAAGATGTATAGCATGACATCATGACACACTAGATGCATAGCATGACACCTTGACACACTTGATGTATAGCATGACATCATGACACACTACATGCATAGCATGACAACTTGACACACTAGATGTATAGCATGACATCATGACACACTAGATGCATAGCATGACAATTTGACACACTAGATGCATAGCATCACATTATGACGCACTAGATGCATAGCATGACATCATGACACACTAGATGCATAGCATGACAACATGACACACTAGAGGCATAGTAAGGCATCCTTACACACTAAATGCAAAGCATGACACCTTGACACACTAGAGGCAGAGTAAGGCATCATGACACACTAAATGCAAAGCATGACAACATGACACACTAGGGGCATAGTATGACATCATGACACGCTGAAAGCATAGCATGACAACCTGAAACACATATTGTTATCTTACTCCTATCCCATCGGTCAGTCGTTACATTGCTATCTTTGTACATTCATCCTATCCCATCGGCCCGTCATTACATTCTTATCTTTGTACGCTCATCCTATCCCATCGGTCCGTCATTACATTGTTATCTTTGCACATTCATCCTATCCCATCGGTCCGTCATTACATTGCTATCTTTGTACATTCATCCTATCCCATCGGTCCTTCATTACATACCTTGCTATCTTTGTACATTCATCCTATCCCATCGGTCCGTCATTACATTGTTATCTTTGTACATTCATCCTATCCCATCGGTCCGTCATTACATTGTTATCTTTGTACATTCATCATATCCCACCGGTCCATCATTACATTGTTATCTTTGTACATTCATCCTATCCCATCGGTCCGTCATTACATTGCTATCTTTGTACATTCATCCTATCCCATAGATCTGTCATTACATTGTTATCTTTGTACATTCATCCTATCCCATCGGTCCGTAATTACATTGTTATCTTTGTACATTCATCCTATCCCATCGGTCCGTCATTACATTGTTATCTTTGTACATTCATCCTATCCCATCGGTCCGTCATTACATTGCTATCTTTGTACATTCATCCTATCCCATCGGTCCATCATTACATTATTACCTTTGTACATTCATCCTATCCCATAGATCTGTCATTACATTGTTATCTTTGTACATTCATCCTATCCCATCGGTCCATCATTACATTGCTATCTTTGTACATTCATCCTATCCCATCGGTCCGTCGTTACATTGTTATCTTTGTACATTCATCCTATCCCATCGGTCCGTCATTACATTGCTATCTTTGTACATTCATCCTATCCCATCGGTCCGTCATTACATTGTTATCTTTGTACATTCATCCTATCACATCGGTCCGTCATTACATTGTTATCTTTGTACATTCATCCTATCCCATCGGTCCGTCATTACATTGCTATCTTTGTACATTCATCCTATCCCATCGGTCCGTCGTTACATTGTTATCTTTGTACATTCATCCTATCCCATCGGTCTGTCATTACATTGCTATCTTTGTACATTCATCCTATCCCATAGATCTGTCATTTCATTGTTATCTTTGTACATTCATGCTATCACATCGGTCCGTCATTTCATTGCTATCTTTGTACATTCATCCTATCCCATCGGTCTGTCATTACATTGTTATCTTTGTACATTCATTCTATCCAATCGGTCCGTCATTACATTGCTATCTTTGTACATTCATCCTATCCCATAGATCTGTCATTTCATTGTTATCTTTGTACATTCATGCTATCACATCGGTCCATCATTACATTGCTATCTTTGTACATTCATCCTATCCCATTGGTCCGTCATTACATTGCTATCTTTGTACATTCACCCTATCCCATCGGTCCGTCCTTACATTGTTATCTTTGTACATTCATCCTATCCCATCGGTCCTTCATTACATTGTTATCTTTGTACATTCATCCTATCCCATAGATCTGTCATTACATTGTTATCTTTGTACATTCATCCTATCCCATAGATCTGTCATTACATTGTTATCTTTGTACATTCATCCTATCCCATTGGTCCGTCATTACATTGCTATCTTTGTACATTCATCCTATCCCATTGGTCCGTCATTACATTGTTATCTTTGTACATTCATCCTATACCATCGGCCCGTCATTACATTGCTATCTTTGTACATTCATCCTATCCCATCGGTCCGTCATTACATTGTTATCTTTGTACATTCATCCTATCCCATCGGTCCGTCATTACATTGTTATCTTTGTACATTCATCCTATCACATCGGTCTGTCATTACATTGCTATCTTTGTACATTCATCCTATCCCATCGGCCCTTCATTACATTGTTATCTTTGTACATTCATCCTATCACATCGGTCTGTCATTACATTGTTATCTTTGTACATTCATTCTATCCCATCGGACCGTCATTACATTGTTATCTTTGTACATTCATCCTATCACATCGGTCCGTCATTACATTGTTATCTTTGTACATTCATTCTATCCCATCGGACCGTCATTACATTGTTATCTTTGTACATTCATCCTATCACATCGGTCTGTCATTACATTGTTATCTTTGTACATTCATCCTATCCCATCGGTCCGTCATTACATTGCTATCTTTGTACATTCATCCTATCCAATCGGTCCGTCATTACATTGCTATCTTTGTACATTCATCCTATCCCATCGGTCCATCATTACATTATTACCTTTGTACATTCATCCTACCCCATCGGTCCGTCATTGCATTGTTATCTTTGTTCATTAATATTATTCCTATGTCATTGGCTTTGTCACTGTGTTATTGTATTTGCACATTCATTTCCCCTTGTGTTGTTGAAACATCATGATTACTCGATGCACTTACTAAGCATTCGCCCTCAACCTCCAGACTCCCTTCCTCTGCCGACCACAGGGGCGCAACCCCCGGCAAACAGGTCGGCTTACGACGTGCAGGGGGGTGCTGGGGACACAGGCTTACGACGTGCAGGGGGGTGCTGGGGACACATTCTACCCTGGGTGCGAGCTTTGGGTAATGAGCGTCTTTACTCTAGCGGTAACACTCCATCTCCATTTAACCAATTGCAAACTCATTTCCAAGGCTATAACGACAGCTTTCAGTGAAGCATGAGTTCATTCACTGCAGGGTTTTCTTGTTAACAGCGACATACAAAGCTACGGTTGCCCATTAGGGCCATATCAAATTTTATTTTGAAATTTCAAGATAGTATGTTGATATTTCAAGTTTGTTGTAAATGAAAAGTAGTACTTTGAAAGTACAATAACACTATTTAAGCATTCAAGTTTAGTCTTGAAATTTGTATGATAATTTTTTAAGGAAGAGAAACATTATGTCCCTAATGGTTTTCCTTACAAACCCAGTGGCGGACGTATTCGCCTTCGGCATGCACATTAGGCTGTTGCGCCTTGACAA